CACATGCCTATAGTCCCAGCTACTCAGGAGGCTGAGGCAGGAGGATCGCTTGAGCCCAGGAGTTTGAGGTTGCTATGAGCTAGGCTGATGCCACGGCACTCACTCTAGCCTGGGCAACAAAGCAAGACTCTGTCTCAAAAAAAACCAAAAAAAACCCATACCACAAATTCATATCTTTAGTGGAAATTTAAATTCCTGTATCAGTGTGCATAATACCTGCTTTATAGACTCAGGGTTATATTCATTTAAAAGTGCTAAATGGCCAATTAATAGCTTATGTAACAGGTATCAATAAAGTGGCTTTTTATGGACACTTAGGACTAAATTTATGTTCGTATCAAAGATTTGCAAATAAGTCTGAATCCTTCAAATTGGAACACAATTTGTCTTGGAATTTAAGATATTTTCCCAATTATTAGATTCTCTTAGAATGTACTGCATATTAATATATATAGTTCATTGGTCTCTCAGTATAAGGGGGGGGATTAATTCCAGGACCACCTGCATATACCAAAGTCCATGCATACGGAAGTCATGCAGTAATCCTTGTGGAACCAGGTATACAAAAAGTAAGCCCTTTGTATGTGTGGGTTTCGAATTCTTCTGATACTGTATTTTCAGTCTGCGTTTGGTTCAACAAAATTGGAGTATAAGTGGACCCATGCAGTTCAAACCTGTTTTGTTCAAGGGTCAACTATATGTAATATTTCTATTTTAGTCTATTTGGGCTGTTATAACAGAATACCGTAGGCTGGGTGGCTTATAAACAACAAATTTATTTCTCTCAGTTCTGGGGGCTGGGCAGTCCAAGGTCAAAGCTCTGGCAGATTCAGTGTTTAGTGAGGGCCCACTTCCTGGTTCATGGATGGCCTCTTCTCACTGAGTCCTCACATGGCAGAATGGGTGAGGAAGCTCGCCTGGGTCTCTTTTATAAGGTTACTAATGCCATTTGTGAGGGTGGAGCGCTCATAACCTAATACCACAGGCTCTCCCTTGTAATACCATAACCACTGGGGGTTAGGATTTAAACAGTCAGCCCTCTATATCTGTGGGTCTTGTGTACACAGATTCAACCAACCTTGGGTTGAAAATATTCAGGAAAAAAACCAATAAAAATAACAGTATAATAGTAAAAGTAAATCAAATTAAACAGTACAGTATTAACAACTATCCACATAGCATTTACATTGTATTAGTGTAAGTTTTGTGTAATACTGGTATTGTATAAGTAATCTAGAGATGATTTAAAGTATACAGGAGGATGTGTGTAGGTTATATGGAAACACTATACAATTTTATATAAGGGACTTGAACATTTGTGGATATTGGTATCTGCGTGGGGTGGGGTGGGAGGTCCTGGAATCAGTCCCCCATGGATAGTGAGGAATGACTATATGAATTTTGGAGGGACACAAACATTTAGCCTATAGTATTGTGCCCTTACCCCCCTGCCCCAATTTATATCCTCACATGCAAAATACATTTATTACATCCCACATCCCAAAAGGCCCAAAAGTTTTGACTTGTTCTAGATCAGCTCTGAAGTCTAAAATACAAAGTCTCATTTAAATATCATCTAAAGCAGATATGGCTGAGTCTCAAGGTATGATTCATCCTGAGGCAAATTGTTTTTCATCTGCCAGCCTGCAAAACCAAACAAATTATGTACTTCCAAACTACTGCAGTGGTGTGATAGGCACAGAATAGACATTTCCATTTGAAAAGAGGGAAATAGGAAAGATGAAAGAGATAATGGAGCCCAAGTAAGTCCAACCTGAGAATAATACTTTCTGGATCACTGTTCTGTACTCTAAGCCCACTGGTGTAGAGGTTCCATATCCCAGACCCACTGAGATGGGGGTCCTGCCTCCACAGCTCTACTCAGCAAGGGTTGTGCCCCTAGGGCTCTGCTGGGTGGGTCTGTCCTGATGGCTTTGGACAAAGGCCATCTCACCTGTTGAAAGCAAGGAAATGGCCCCCCTTTTGAAGCCAAGGAGGCAGCCTTGACAATCTCTGAATCACCTTCTGGGTCATTCTTCCCTTGTCTTGAGGAATAATGCACATTCTTAGCCAAATAGCTCTATGGTCCTGTCATGTGAAATCCAAGAAGTCTGACAGCTGTCCTGCATTCTCCCCACTGCTTCCCCTGCAGCTCAAATTGGCGGTTCCACCGGGGTGGCCGATGAAGTCCATGGTCCACACCCATACTGATCTCCTTATCAAAGGGGCACTTGTCCACTCCCTTAGTGTTCTCCCCTAAACACTCTCATACTTTGCAGTATGGATAGAATTTTTCAAATCTTTAAGTTCTGTTTCCTCTTTGCCTAACAATTCTGTCTTTAAGTCACGTCTCTCTCTCCACATTTTACTATAAGCAGTCAGGAGCCAAGCTGCACCTTTGACATTTTGCCCGAAATAGCTTCAGCTAAATATCCAATTTTATCACTCTTAAGTTCTACTTTCCACCAAATGCTAGAACATGAACACACTTAAAGTTCTTTGACACATTATAACAAGGATCACATTCTCTCCATTGTCCATTGGCACGTTCCGTATTTCCATCGAAGACTTCATCAGAATGGCCTTTACTGTCCATATTTCTACTAACATTCTGTTCAGGATTATGTATTCCCTCAGAAGATTGAGGCTTTCTCTACAGCCCCCTTCTCATCTTTCTGAGCCCTCATCAGAATTGTCTTGAAAGGTTCATTCATGGTAATGTAGGCCTTCTCTAGTATGCACCTCCAAACTCTTTTCAGCCAGTTCCAAAGCTCCTTCCACTTTTTAGTGTTTGTTACAGCAGCCCTCCCGCTTCTTGGTACCAAAATCTGTATTAGTAAGGGCTTTTCAGAACCTGTTCTGTGTATGTGTGTGTGTGTGTGTGTGTACAGTTGACCCTTGAATAACATGGTTTTGAACTATGTGGGTCCACTTACATGTGGATTTTCTGCCACCTCTGAGGCACCAAGACCAACCTGTCCTCATCCTCCTCTTCCACTTACTCAATGTGAAGACAGTGAGGATGAAGACCTTTATGATGATCCATTTCCATTTAATGAATAGTAAATATATTTTCTCTTCCTTATGATTTTGTTAACATTTTTTTTTCTAGCTTACTTCATTGTAAGAATATAGTATAAAATACATATAACACAAAATATGTGTCAGTCAACCATTTATGTTATTGGTATTCCCGCCAGCAGTAGGCTATTAGTAGTTTTTGGGGAAATGAAAGTTATATCTGGAGTTTTTATTTCAGGAGGGTGTCAACACCCTGAACCCTTGCATTGTTTATAGGTCAACTATGCATACCAATAGTGTATATATAAACAGATTGAATATGTATAGAGATTATTACATAAAGAGATTTATTGTGGGGGATTGGCTTATGTGATGATGGAGGCTGAGAGGTCCCAGGATCTGCCATCTGTAAGTGGGTGAAAGAAAGCTGATGGCATAGTTCCAGTTCAAACTCAAAGGCTTGAGAACCAGGAGTGCTGATACCTGACTGCAGGAGAAAATGACGTCTCAGCTCAGACAGACAGACCTCTATTCTGGCCCTCAATGGATTGCATGACACCTGTCCACATTGGTGAGGGCAGTCTTTACTCAGTTTACCAGTTCAAATACTAATCTCTTTGGAAAATCCTTACATATACCCAGAAACAATGTTTTACTGAGCTATCTGGGCATCAGCCCAGTGAAGGTGACAGATAAAATTAACCATCGCGGGGTCATTTAAAGATTTCACACACTTTAAAAAACATGAAGAAAATTAGAGATTCTGTTCATGACAGCAACAGACTTGGCAGTATTTGATGAGAATAATGGCTAAGAATTTTCCAAAACCACCTATAATTATAAATACAAACCACAGATTGGGGTACTATGAACCCCAAGGGGAAAAATAAAAAGAAAACCATATTCAGGTACTTCATAGTATAACTGATGAAAACTACAGACAAAGAGGACATCCTAAAAGCAACCAAAGAAGAAACACATTAAATTCAAAGACAAGTAGTAAGCTTTGATAGAAATAATGCAAGCTGGAAGATAATGGAATGACATCTTCAAAGTGCCTGTCTAGAATTTTATGCCTTCAAAAAGCAAAGAAAATAGACATTTTGAGACAGACAAAAACTGAACTAACTTGTCAACGGCAGTCTCTGCACTAAAAGAAATACTAAAGAGAGTTCCTCAGGCAAAAGGAAAGTGATTCTAGATGGGAGCAAAGAGATGTAGGAAGGAATGAAGAGCAATGGAAAGGGGAAATAAGTTAGTAAATTTAAATAAATTTTGCTTCCTGTGGGGTTTAGATTTAATGTAGAATTAAAATACACAGCAATAATAATGAGTTTAGAAGGGTTGGTATTCTAAGTCCTTTCATTGTCCAGCAACTGGTAAAAGTACGAATTTACGTTAGGCTTTGATGAGTTAGGGTAGGGTTCATGTTATCATCCCCTACAGTATAACCACTAACAGAATAATATTTAATACAAGATTGTAAAAAGCTAATAAAGAAGAGAAATGGAATAATAATGATTTAAAAACTTAATCCAAAAGAAGGCAAAAGAGGTATATATGGAACAGATAGGACAAATAGTAAGATGGTAGCTTGATTCCTAAATATATCAGTAATTACATGTGAATAGACTTGATGCTCCAACTAAAAACCAAAGATTTTCGTACTGGGAAAACAGTGAAATCCATCTACATGCTGCTTTCAAGATAAATAACCTAGATGCATATGTACAGAAAGATTGAAAATGAAAGGCGAGGAAAAAATTGCACAAACGTTAACCTCATGAAAACTGACGTAGTTATGCTGATATCAAAGTAGATTATAAGGCAAGAAGCATAGAGGGAGAAACATTTCAAAAATAACAATGTTCAAGTCACCAGGAGGATATGACAATTTAAAATTTGTATGCCCCTAAGCATAACCTCAAAATATATAAAGAGCAGTGAGTCACTTGGCTTACGTTTTTTTTTTTGTTTAGACCATCAACTTCAAACGACAGAGAAATACGTGAGTATTTTTGTTGGTAGCTTCAAAGAGAAGAAAGGTGAGCAGACCTTTCCAGAATTCTTTTTTGAGACAGTCTCACTCTGTTGCCTGGGCTAGAGTGCTGTGGTATCAGCCTAGAACAGCAACCTCAAACTCCTGGGCTCAAGCAATCCTTCTGCCTCAGTATTCCAAGTAGCTGGGGCTACAGGCATGCACCACAATGCCCTGCTAATTTTTTCCATATTTTTTTAGTTGTCCAGCTAATTTCTTTCTCTTTTTAATAGAGTTGGGGTCTCGCTCTTGCTCAGGCTGGTCTTGAACTCCTGAGCTCAGATGATCCACCCGCCTTGGCCTCCCAGAGTGCTAGGATTACAGGGGTGAGCCACCACGCCCAGCCCAAAATTCTTTTTCCTACTTTACTAACACATCTTCATCCTCTGATATATCTGATGCAAATGTAGATTCTTCTATGGCTCTTTAAGCATAATCTGCAGCAGCCCTTCAAGAAAAATATTTGTATTTGAATATTATGTTACAAAAGACTTTGTAGTGTTCATCTCTGTCTTTGGGTTAGTATTTATTGCCATGTCTATGTAATTATAAATTCTCGCTGGGTGAGGTGATGTGTGCCTGTAGTCCCAGCTACTGGAGAGACTGAGGTGGAAGGATCACTTGAGCCCAGAAGTTCTGAGCTGTAGTGCCCTCTGCCCATCTGGTGTCCACATCCAAAGTGGGCATTAATATGGTGACCTCTTGGGAGTGGGGGACCACTAGGTTGCCTAAGGAGGTGGTAAACCAGCTTAGGCTGGAAACAGAGCAGGTCAAAACTCCCATGCAGATCAGTAGTGGGGCTGTACCTCTGAATATACCCACTGCACTCCAGCCTGGGCAACACAGCAAGATCCCATCTCTGTGGAGGAGGGTGGTGAAAAAAAGAAAGAAAGAAAAAGAAAATAATTATCAATACCCCTATGCTGGCTCCTTGAGTCATCATTGTACAACTGTGTGAGTGCTAAGGCAGCTGCATGCTTCCTGTTTTGTCATTTCCCAGCATGCCTTCCATGGATGCTCCGGAGAAGTGAACCTGGGGGAGGGGGGTAACTCTTTGTCCCCAGGAATATGGTCTGCAGTATTGGGGCTTGCAAGGAGGTAAACACATGACAGTCATTATTAGCAAATGCACCCTCTCTTCATCTTTACCTTTGTTCCTCACATGAATGTTTATAGAGAGATAAATTGGAGAGCATCCAAAAGAGCAGTGAAAATAGAATCCACAAAATAAATTATGGCTGCATGCTATGAACATAAGTCATTTTTAAGCTCTCAAGTAAAATGAAAAGGACTAATGCCAAGAATGGTAACCAGTACTTTCCATCTCTGCTGGTCTCCTTATATGAGAGAACTAACACAGCGGGGTTTGGATTAGATTTGAAGAATTTCCATAAGAGTGGGGGAGATTAGTCAAAGGGAGCTTTAGTTCTCCTGTAATATTTAACCTTTTAAAAAATGGGAATATATTCATATATTCCCTCTATCATTTTAATAAAAATAAAAATGATTGCTAGATGTTCATTGTTGTGGAAATGTCTTTTCTACATGTCAGTAGGGTGGTTAGCCAAATCTAGAAATACGTAGATGCAGGACTCCCTAGAGGTAACGTCGTGAGTAGGGAGATGTGATGGTTAACATTATGTGGCAACTTGACTAGGAAGGGATGCCCAGATAGCGGGTAAAACATTTTTGGGTGTGTCTGGGAGGGTGTTTCCAGAAGAGATTAGCATTTGAATCAGTAGACTGAGTAAAGAGGATCCACCCTCACCAATGTGGACAGGTACCATCCAATCCTTGGAGGGCTGGACTAGAACAAAAAGGTGGAGGAAGCGTGAATTTGCTGTCTCTGTTTGAGCCTGAACATCCACCATCTTCTGCCCTGGGACATCGGCACTCCTGGTTCTCAGGCCTTCTGACTCAGACTGGTACGTAAACCATCAACCGCCCAGCTTTCAGTCCTTGGACTTGGACTGGAACTTACACCGTCGACCCCCTGGACTTGCACTGAATGACATCACAGGCTTTCCTGGTACTCAAGCTTGCAAATGGCAGATGGTGGGACTTCTTGGCTTTCATAACCACTTGAGCAATTCCTATAATAATTCTCCTCTTATATGTGTATATCCTATTGGTTCTGTTTCTCTGGAGAGGATTGCTTGAGTCCAGGAATTTAAGACCATCCTGGGGCTTGGTGCGGTGGCTCATGCCTGTAATCCTAGCACTCTGGGAGGCCGAGGATTGATCAAGGTCAGGAGTTTGAAACCAGCCTGAGCAAGACCCCATCTCTACTAAAAATAGAAAATTAATTGGCCAACTAAAATATATAGAAAAAAAAATTAACTGGGCATAGTGGCACATGCCTGTAGTCCCAGCTACTTGGGAGGCTGAGGCAGGAGGATCACTTGAGCCCAGGAGTTTGAGGTTGCTGTGAGCGAGGCTGATGCCACAGCACTCTAGCACAGGCAACAGAGTGAGACTCTGTCTCAGAAAAAAAAAAAAAAAAAAAAGACCATCCTGGGCAATATAACAAGACCCCATCTCTACCAAAAAAAAAAAAAAATTAAAATCTGTATCCTGCAATTGCTTATTCCCTTTTAAATGAGTCACTTACTGTATAGAGCAGACAGTTGAATCTTTTCCAGAGTATTGTTTTAGCTTGCCCTACTGGTCATGCTTTTCAAGATAATCACTTCCTAATCAGTTTTCTTATCATGTGGGGAAGTCAGGTTTCCTTGTTTCTCTTTTCCCGGAGGTGCCAGGGTTACAAAATTGACTTCCTCCTATCCCCAATCCCATTTAAAAAGTTGAAAAAAAAATCTTTATGCTATTAGACCTTGCTAGATTAAATCAGCATTTGATTCCTTGTTGTACTGTACATCCTGATCTCAACATGGCAGCTTTAATTGAACCAAGGCTTTTCCCCCCTGGTAGATAGGATAGTAGGATAGCTACTTTGGTGCTTTAAAAAAATTTTATTATAAAATTATGCCTGATGGATACTGGGGTTGCTCAACAATAGTGATGCTATACTTTTATGTTTGTCTTGTTTTAAAACTCTAAGTATAAAAACTATTATTTAGATCATTTAACCCTGTAACTCAATATACACATTTCTACTGGTCTTCTCAGACTTTTGTGTGTTAGTGGTTTTGTTTGATTTCACCTAAAGCCAAGCCAGGAATAGAGTTTGCTATTATTTTCCTTGATTGTTTTTGTTTTTGTTTTGTTTTCTAGAGTGAATGATTTTGCCTGGAAATAGCTCAGTGTTCAAGTCATAATTTTTCTTTTCACTGTGATAATTTCAATTATTCCTTTGAACACTACTTGAGATGGCTACATCTTTTTACTAATGTTGATATATTTAGAGAATTAACAGGCTGTACTATCTTAACCTCCATTTTTGGCAGAAAATACACTTTTTATAGTCCCTTTGGTATATAGGACTCCTAACAAGTCCATGGCCCCCACACTCTGTGCTGCAAAATTATTTCAAAGCAGATGCTAGGTATCATATTTATCTGCACAAATACTTCAGTATGTATCTCTAAATATGAAGGGTTTTCTTCTTTAGCTTAATGACAATCTTATTACATCTTAAAAAATTATTTCATATTCAAAGTTTACTTAGTGTCTCAAAAGTGCTACTAAAAATTCATATGTGTATATTTCTAACTTCTCCAAATAATTCTATAGAATACATTTCTAGGAGAGGAAAAGATTGGATAAAGCATATACAGTTTGAATTTTGAGGCATCCCCAACACTGAGTATTATGTTTACCAGAGATTTCTTTTTCACAATTTTTTTTTTTTTTTTTTGAGACTGAGTCTCACTCTGTTGCTCAGGCTAGAGTGCAGTGGCATCATCATAGCGCACTGCAGCCTCAGACTCCTGGGCTGGGCTCAAGCAATCCTTTTGCCTCAGCCTCCCAACTAGCTGGGACTACAGAAAAAATTTTTCTATTTTTTGTGGAGATGGGGGTCTCACTATGTTGCTCAGGCTGCTCTCAAACTCCTGGCCTCAAGTGATCTTCCTGCCAGAGTCTCCCAGAGTGCTGGGGTTATAGGCATGAGCCACCGCACCCGGCCTTCTTTTTGACAGTTTGTTAGAGAAAAAGTGATATTCCTATTTTAATGTGTATTTAATTATTGCTGAGCTTACTTATGTGTTTTATGTTTGTCTGTACTCCTTCCATAAAGTGCAGATTTATATCTTTTTTACTATTGGGATATTACCTTTTTCTTATTGATTGATATAGCTCTTTATATTTTATAGATACTAACCTTTAGTGTGCCATATGTGTTGCAGATAATTTCCTATTTATCATTTGATTTTCATTTTGTTTACAGTGTCATTTACCATCCAGATGTGTTTTATTTTCATATAATAAATCTGTCCATTTTGTGATTTATGGATTATGTAGCATGCTTCCAAAGATCCTTCTCCTTTAAGATTATAAAAAGTCTCTTATATTCTCTACTAATGTTTTGTTTTTTTCTGTTTGTATTTTTAGCATTAGCCCATCTATAATTAATTTTGGGGTATGGTTTGCAGAAGGAATTTAACTTTTTTCCATATGGAGAACCAGTTATTTCAACACCATTTGTTGACACGCTAACCTTTTCTCATCTTTATCATCATTTATTAGATGCCCACGTTTACATGGGTCTGTGTCTGGCTTCTCTGTTCTAGTGATTCATTCGTCCATTCCTTTACCAGTATCACATTGTTTTATTTACTGTAGTTTTAGAGTACATTTTGCTATCTGGGAAGGCAAGTACTTTCTCAATTTCTTTTTGAAAGTGTTACTGGATATTTTCACACATTTAGTCTTTCAAGGGAAATTTATAATAGATTTAAATTTCACTAAAAATCTCACTAGAATTTTGACTTAAATTGCTTTCAATTTCAAGATTAATTTGAGAGATGCCAACAACTTGGAAATACTGAGTAATACTGAGCCTGCCCATCCAGACATATCGTGCTTTCATTTATTTAATGTTTGCATGCTCTCAACAAAGGTTCTGTGGTACTTTTCATATAGGTATTAGACATTTCTAATTGGAATTATTCCCATAGACTTTGTTTCTCCTGCTAATGTTTTGAGACCTTTTTCTGTTATATATGGAAGTGGCTTATATTAATGCTTATTGTATGTTTATATTTATATCCGTGGAACTCTATTCTTTATTATTATTGGTTTCTCAAGGTTTAAAAAATTTTTCTAAGTATATAGTATGGTTTCATTTCTTGACCCATATGTATTCTTTCACCTTTGGTATTGCATCTGGAGTCCATGCTTTTTCCCATAGGCCAAAGTTTAATAAATGGAAAATGGTCTAGCACATGGTAAAGGCTTGATATTAGTTTCCTCCCTTATTCTTTTCAATGTCACAGTTGATCAAAAAGAAAAAAGTGAACTAAAATTCATAAGGAAATAGATATCTACTAGTTATAATCTAAGTAATTTACCTTAATTTCTCTCTTCTTTGGAAAATGGTATGATAGGTGGTTGGTTGCAATTTTTTCTCTCTCAACTTTCCTTTAAATTTACTGGGAAAAGAAAAAATATTGGTACATATGATTATGGTAAAATCAAAAACCTTTTTTGCCATTTATTTTTTGAAGAAAATGGATTCTCAAATAGGATTGTGACTCAGGTATTTAACCAAAGCTCATGGGGTTTATTCTTTATTTTCCAGATTTGCAATTTTTTTTTTCAACTAAAAGAAAGGTACAGAATCATTGGGGGGAAAAAAGTTGAATGTCATAGAAGACTGTGAGTCATACATTAATGACTGTTGAGCCTGAGGGGTGGGTGAATTTGGATTTATTGTTCCCTCTGCTTTTGTGTATGTTTGAAAATGTCTATAATGGAAAATTTTTGAAAAATCCTATCTGGCCAGTTACCAGCTCTGTTGCCTGGGGCAGGTTATTTGAATGTTCTTAATTTTTCAACTGTTAGGTGGAAATAGCATCTACTACCAGGGTGTTAAGAAGTATCAGTAGGCCGGGTGCAGTGGCTCATGCTTGTAATCCTAGCACTCTGGGCAGCTGAGGCAGGAGGATTGGTCAAGATCAGGAGTTCAAAACCAGCCTTAGCAGAGGTAGACCCCGTCTCTACTATAAATAGAAAGAAATTAATTGGCCAACTAAAAATATATAGAAAAAATTAGCTGGGCATGGTGGCACATGCCTGGAGTCCCAGCTACTCGGGAGGCTGAGGCAGAAGGATTGCTTGAGCCCAGGAGTTTGAGGTTGCTGTGAGCTAGGCTGACGCCACGGCACTGTAGCCTGGGCAACAGAGTGAGACTCTGTCTCAAAAAAAAAAAAAGAAGTATCAGTAAATACCTTGTGATATTTACCTTATCATAGATGTTCAGTAAACATTAACTCTTAGGAATAAGAACATGAATTATAAAAACTAATCCTCATAGCTACTCTCCAAAGTAGGCAGTTTTATCCCATTTTTCAGATGAGAAAACTGAGAATTGAAGCAGTTACATATTATGCTGTGAGGTACCCAAGAAATAAGTAATGGAACTAAAATTTGAGTCTGAGTTCTGACCTCAAAGTCCAGGACACTTGAAGCCTCCTTGCATAGGGAAGACTGCTATTTATGAAATTTTGTTTCTGTTATTTGAGATCATTTACATTATACTTTCTCAGATTTACTCTTCATCATAACTCTAAGGCAGAATGTCAGTCTGTAGCATTTTTTTTTAAAGAAGCACCTCAAGTTTTCACATTTTTGTGTATGAGTAGTTAATTCTAAAAATACACATATTTTACTTTAAAATATATTTGAGTTTGTAAGTTGAGTTTAAATATTGGCAATACCAATGTTTTTGTTGACAAAAGGATGCTTTTTGTTTTTCCAAGTGAGTTTGGGTATGGGGTAAAACCTCTGTCTGAAAGTTGAAATGTTTATATTTTTGCTATTATACCATTAGATGGCTTATTGGATTTATTATATTTGATATAATGCATATTGTGTTTTTGCTGAATTGATTAAGATCATAATTTACAGTGTTATGAAATGAATCCAGAGGAAATCAGGGCAAGAAGATGCAAACTGGGAAGAGAGCTTTGTCTTGGCTTTTCTGGTCAACTGCAGACTCTGAATTGCTCACTATAAAATAGAAATTATTCCTGTGAGGTTAAGAGACCTATTGTAAGAATTTCCTTTTATTCAACAAAATTTATTGACATGCAACAGGTTATTATATGCTATGTGCTTTATTATGTGTTAGGTTTATTATAAGTTAGGTGCTTGGTAACTTCTCTCCATGCCCAGTAGATTTCCCAGCACATGATAAGTCCTCAGTTAATATTTTGGGATATTGAATAGTGAAATGGCCTGTAAAAGCCTTGAAACTTTGGAATACATTTCTACCCTACTTTTTAAAGGATTACGAAATGTTCTAAAATTTTGTATTTATGAAATGCTTAAAGCATATGTATTCTTAAAATGATGGTTGATTAATATTTTGGGGGAAATTGAAATACTATATATCTTAAAAAAATTTTTTTTTCATATGGGAAATATATATCATGTTATTTTTCTATAATAAATTCTTGAAACACTGTTTCAGTAATTTCTGGTTTTAGGTGTAGTTTTTTTTTTTTAACAGTGTAGCCTCATAAATTGAAAAATTGCTTTTTTCATAGACTATCATTCATTTAATTAAAAATCTTTTGTGAGAAGTAGAAATTTGGATTGGAAAGATAACCATTGGGCCTTTGGGTGTTTGCTTCTTTCTCTCTGGTATTTATTAAAGATTTCCTTCATTTGTTTTACCATTTTCTCCACATTCTCCTCAGTGTTCACTTATCTGCTCAATCCTAGTGTACACATAAAGTAGTTTCAGAATTGCTGACTCCTATCCTTCTGAAAAATAAATTTACTAACCAGAGTACAATACTGCATGCAGGGCTTTTGTCTTTATCCTTACAAAATATTGTTTTCCAACCAGAATACTATGTTGAATACAGTTCTTTTGGCTTTATCCTTACAAAATACTTTCTTCTAAAGTTATTTAGAAAATAAGTAACTTTCTTCCCTGTCTCCTACAGTGTGGTTCAGTTTTCAGTTTGTAATAGAATTGGGTTTGTGTTTTGAGTTCCCCCACATTTCTTTATTTTAGGGGATACATGAAATGTTATCATTGTTCTAAGAGTCAGAGCTACCCTGGGAGACCAGTCATTTGCCAGGGTATCCTCAGAGAACTGTCATTGCCCTCGCCCTTTCTATCCCATTTCCATTTCCTCCTCCTTCCTACCCCATTTCCACCTGCTCTCTCTAGGTGACCAATCTCATCAACTTCTGGCATATCTCTCTTTCTTTTTTGGTACAAACAAGCAGATATATATGGTCATGCATCACTTAATGATGGGGATACTTGATGTTGGGTATGAGGAATGCGTCATTAGGGGATTTCACCACGTGGGAACATCGTAGAGTGCACTTACACAAACGTAGATGGTGTAGCCTACTACACACCTAGGCTATATGGTATGGCCTTTTGCTCCTAGGGTATAAACACGTACAGCCTGTTACTGTACTGAATACTGCAGGCAATTGTAACACAGTGGTATTTGTGTATCTAAACATATCTAAACATAGAAAAGGTACAGTATAAATACTGTATAAAAGATAAAAAATGAAAAAAAAAAAGATAAAAAATGGTATACCTGTATTGGACACTTAGCATGAATGGAGCTTACAGGACAGGAAGTTGCTCTGGGTCAGTCAGGGAGTGAGTGGTGAGTGAATGTGAAGGCCTAGGACATTACCGTACACTACTGTGGACTTTATAAACACTGTGCACTCAGATTACACTAAATTGACATAAAAATATTTTTCTTCAATAATAAACTTCTTTTGGAATACCCTCCTGAGGGAACTGCCTGAGACCGTTTTACAGCTTATTTTTTAATGAGTAGAAGGGGTACACTCTAAAATCATAAGTACAGTATAGTAAATATATAAACCAGTAACATAGTCATTTATTGTTAACAACTGTTATGTACTGCACATAATTTTATGTGCTATACCTTTATAAGACTGGCGGCACAGTACATTTGTTTATACCAGCATCACCACAAACACACGAATTGTGTGTTGTGCTACTATGTTTATGATGCCACTAGGCTATAGGAGTTTTTAAGCTCTATTATAATCTTGTGGGACCACTGTTGGATATGCAGTCTGTCACTGGTCAAAATGTCTTATGTGGTGCATATTCCTCCCTCCCCCTTTCTCTCTCTCTCTCCATAACCTCATATTTTCTTTCTCACAGGAAAGGTAGCACACTCTAGATATTCTTTTGTGCTTTGATTTAATAATATATTTTATTATATTATTATAATATGGCCTTATTATATACAGTCTGCCTCCGTGTTATGGTTCTGCATCTATGGATTCAACCAAACATGGATTGAAAATATTAAAAAAAAAGTGTATGGTTGTATCTGTACTGAATAGGTACAGACTTTTTTTCCTTTTCATTATTCCTAAAACAATATAGTATGACAGCTGTTTACATAGCATTTAGATTGTATTAGGTATTATAAGCAATCTAGAGATGATTTAAAGTACACAGGAAGACATATGTAGGTTATATGCAAATTATGCACTGTTTCATGGAAGGGACTTGAATACCGGTGGATTTTGGTATCTGTGCAGGGTCCTAGAACCAGTCCCCCACAGATACCAAAGGATTACTGTATATTAATAATATATCCAATTTATCCACTTAATGCATCCAGGAATCATTCCTTATTCATAGAACCATTCTAATTCTTTTTTACAGTTGCATAGTATCCCATTGCATGGAGTGCCATAGTTTATTCAACCACTCTCCTGTGTTTGGGCATTTATATTCTTTTTAGCATTTTGCAGGTATAAACTGCTGCAATGAATGGGCTTGAGTATATATACTTTTGTTTTTGAGGTATATCTTCAGAGTAAATTCTAAAGAGTGAAATTGCTATATTAAAAGGTTAGTACATATGTTGTTTTGTTAGGTATTGCTAAAAGTGATGCACACTTTTTTTGTTGTTTATTGTTGTTAGGTTATTCACCTTCAACTTGCCAGAACAACAACACTCTATAAATACCAGACATTAATACAACTTTTCTTTTACAGATCTGCCATGGTGGCTTATTCTAATTCGCCAGAAAGCATTGGTGGGCAAACTCCCAGGAGACCATGAGGTCTGTAAAGTTACCAAAATTGCTGTGCTGTCACTTTCTGAAATGGAACCTCAGGATCTTGAGCTAGAGGTAAAGTGAAATCAAAGGGCATTTTATGGAAACCTGATAATAAATGTAATAGCAAAAATATGAGGATTTGGTTCAATAGGCCAGAAACAGGCATTTTTAGAGCTGGATAATATCTTTAAAATAATTTAATCATGTAGTTTTCAAATTTCATTTTAGTAGTGGAACTCTTATTTCAAAATCTGTGAAATCCAGTATGTAAGAACATAGAAGCAGGGCTGCTCTGGTTGAGATGGTGTTGGTGGGTAGGGTGGGGTTGGGGCTCCTTAGGACCCTGTCCACTTGGTCTCTCCTGAAGAAGCCACCTTCTGCTTCCACAGAGCCCTAGGGCTTTGCACAGTGTAGTTCAAAAACTCCTGATTTGGGGGGAAACTGGGGAGTTAAGATGGAGAGATTTAACTTTTATTATATCCTTTTTTTTTTTTTTTTTTTTTTTGAGACAAAGTTTCACTCAGTCACCTAGTGCAGTGGGGAGGTCACAGCTCACTGCAGCTTTGAACTCCTGGGCTCAAGAGATCCTCCCATCCCAGCCTCCCAAGTAGCTGGGACTACAGGCATGCCACCATGCCCGGCTAATTTTTTTGTCCGTGTTAGGGACCAGGTCTCCCTGTGTTGCGCAGGCTGGTCTCAAACTCCTGGCCTCAACAATCCTGCCTCAGCCTCCCAAAGTGTTGGGATTACAGGTATGAACCACGGTGCCTGGCCTACATCCTTTTTTGTCTATATTTCTTGAATTTTTTCTAAAGCATATATTTCTCTTGTAACTTTTTTTTTAAGTTTTTTTTTTTTTAAAGAAAGAAAACTGATCTAGTCTGATCTTCATTTTCCAGGGAGGGGCTTAAGCCCCCAAGCAGAGTGACTTAAGGCCAAAATAATAATAATTTTTAATCTCATTATTTTATTAAATGATGTTTTTTTACCATGACGTGCTGCCTCTTGGTAGAAATAACCCATGAAAGCATTTATATCCTGTCTGCTATGGGTGTGGGCACTTGACATCTAGAGATTGTAATCTCTCTGGCATAGCCTATTTTGTTCACTATGTGATGTGCCAGGCAGGCCATGTGAGTTACATGGATCATTACATTTTTTTTTTTTTTTTTTTTTGAGACACAGTCTCGCTTTGTTGCCCAGGCTAGAGTGAGTGCCATGGCGTCAGCCTCGCTCACAGCAACCTCAATCTCCTGGGCTCAAGCAATCCTACCGCCTCAGCCTCCCAAGTAGCTGGGTACAGGCTTGTCCACCATGCCCGCTATGTTTTTCTATATATATTAGTTGGCCAATTAATTTCTTCTAATTTATAGTAGAGACGGGGTCTCGCTCTTGCTCAGGCTGGTTTTGAACTCCTGACCTCGAGCAATCCGCCCACCTCGGCCTCCCAGAGTGCTAGGATTACAGGCGTGAGCCACCGCGCCCGGCCGGATCATTACATTTTGTCCCTAGGACCACCCTATGGCGTGGCCACTGTTGCAGATTAAGTCACACAGCTGGCACAACTCGGGTCTGGATCTGGACTCAACCAGTCTGGGCCTGTATCACTGTGCTGAGCTGCGTCTCTGTCACCTGAACAGCAGGTAACAGATAAGAAAGCACATACTGCCCCACAACTCAATATATGTTTCTCCATGCTCAATTCTTGGGGAGGATGTTTGACAGGTTAGATTGCTTTAAAAAAAAAAAGAGTAGTAAAAATATAATTATTTTTATGCTTTAGATTTCACTGGAAGTTTGACAATCTAATTTTAAGAAACTAAAATGAATTAAGGGGGACCTTGATATTAACTATTTGTTATAGGAATCAAAAAAAGGTTAGGGTACTTCCTTTTTTATACTAGTGCTAGCATGCCAGTTTCAACTAATTCACTGTTGCTGATCCAGAAGACGGAATTTAGGTGGCCATTAATTAGGTCTATTAAAAGCAGATGTTTTGCAGTTTCTGTTTGCATTATATTTTGGTGAGGACGCAGCCAGACTAAACAAAAATTGTATTGGTTTCCTAAGCCAGTAAATTTGTCACCAGTGTCCTTTGGATGGCTTTGCTGATGGGTTGAAAGATCAGCATCACTTCCTGTTACCACACTTTCACCACTGAGCTGTCCTCAGTTTTGAGAGCATTACGCCGGTCTTCTGCAGTTTGATGGAGAAGCAGGTGGACTGGCTTGTCCAGCCCAGCCGTCAATTTGCATATTTGGCACCCTCCCACCCTGGAGAAAATTATAATGTCAAGGCCCCATCAAGAGAGTTGGAATACTTGTTGACTTTTTCAAAGAGCTTCTGTCCTTCATCGGCCCATCTGTAACATTTTTGAGACTAATACTGGGCATAGGCATAAATGGGAGAGAAGAAATCAAGTTTAGGAAATTACATTTACATGGATTTTTAAAAACAGAAACAATGGGAATACCTATGAAACGCTTTAAGAATGTTCTTTCTTTTTTGTTTTTTTTTGATGACAGGACGTCTGCTTTGGTCTGCTAGCTAGAGTGAGTGCCGTGGGCCTGTCAGCCTAGCTCACCAGCAACCTCAAACTTCTGGGCTCAACGCAGCCTTCTCGCCCTATGCAGCTCCCAAATGTGGGCACAGGCATGGCACGGCGCCACATGCCCCGCTGATATGTTTTCTATATCTATTAGTTGGCCAAGTTAATTTTCTTTCTATTATCAGTACGAACGGGGTCTCGCTACTGAATCCCTTGAGGGCAATCCGCCCGCCTCGGCCTCCCAGCAGTGGCTATGGATTACCAGGCGTGAGCCACGCGCCGAGCCAAGAAATTTTCTTTATTCTTCAGACTTTTCCTTTTCTCTCCCAATAGGCTAAGGAAAAGAGGTTATCTTCAGATAGAAAGGAAAATAAGATTTCCCCCACATGACACAGTTGAGTATTTTTGTAGCTGTGGGCTGTACAGTGTAAACGGCAGCACTTAGCAGGGCTCCAAAGATTATGGTCCATGGAAAGAGTTGGGTCTACGTAATGACTCTTGCTATTAGGGGCAAAAGTAACTAGAGAAAGCATTTCTGCATCCTATCTCAGTGAATAGGTTGGTACATCTTTCTCTTAAGAGATTGTAATTTTAGAAATTTGTACTTGTGCCTCTTTAAATCCTGTTTTATAGTAAAGGAACTTTGTACCGTGTTTCCCCGAAAATAAGACAGGGTCTTATATTTGTTTTTCCTCAAGAAGACACCCTAGGGCTTATTTTCAGGGGATGTGTTACTTTTTTTAAGTACAGTACAACAATCTACATTTATTCAAATAGAGTTAAGTCATCTTCTGGAACGTCGTCATAACTCTCCAAATCCCGAATCCCATCCTGAATTTCTTGTGACTGTATTTCCTTTTGAACCATTGGCCCCAATCTCTCATGTCATGCAGTAGAGCTCTCAAGGGGTGGATGAGAAGGGCTGCTCATCTTTACCGCTCTGTGAGGAAATGCATGGATTGTGCAGATATGCTGTGCAGCCACGCCCGTCACTAGGTCTTATTTTCTGGGTAGGGCTTATATTGCGCAAATGCTTAGAAATCCTGCTAGGGCTTATTTTATGGGTAGGTCTTATTTTCGAGGAAACATGGTAGCAGTGAATAATAAGAAGGGCAGAGGACAGCTATGTTGAAAATCATGAATTTCTTACTTTTCTTCTAACATGTTCATTTAAATTGTGCTATCCTTATTTCAGTTTCCAAATCACTCCATTTAAAAGGAGCTTTTAAAAGCTTAATCATTTTTATGTTTCTCTGATTATACAGTAAATTGTAAAGGAGCAGGGAAAAAAATCCCACTGCCTAGAAACAGTCATGTCAAGGTTCTAGGGAGTCTCAGTAGTTGTTTCCATTTGCCCCCACGCTCTTTGCAGGAACAATATTGTTTTGAAGTTTTTCAAAACAGTTTTTATATTTTGCATTTTTGTGTATTTTCTCCTACTCCTGTTTTTATGAACAGACATAGCTTATGCACATAAAAAGACTTTGTTAAACAAAATTAGTCGTTTTGTCTTCTTTGTACGTCTTTATGATTTGGGTGTCTGTGTGGCACGTTGAATAATCGGCTGCTTTTATTCTCCCCAGCAGCACCTCAGGCTCATTATCGTGGACAGTGTTTTGCTAAAGCCTTGTCTGTCTTCTGCAACTGGAGCAGAAGCAATTTTATTTCAGAGTGTGGTATTAATAGAGTTTCTAGTTTTCTGCCTCAGTTGCCTTTTTACTTTATGTGTATGCCTTGTTTGCCAGATTTTTTTTTTGTAACTCACATACCATATTGTTCACCCATTTAAAATATATAACTCAGTGGTTTTTAGTATATTCAGAGTCATGTGACCATCACCACAATCGATTTTAGAACATTTTTGGCACCTTCCCTGAAAACCGTATCCTCATTAGTAGTTATTCCTCATTTCCCTCCAAACCTGAGCTCCCCCAGCCTTCTCAACCACTAATCTATCTCTCTAAATTCATCTATTATAGATATCTCTTATAAATGGAATCATACAATATGTGGCTTTTGTGACTGACTTCTTAGCACAACATTTTCAAGGTTCATGCTTATTGTAACATGTATCAGTACTTTATTCTTTTTTGTTGCCACATAATATTCCATCGAATGGGTATACCACATTGTATCCATCCATCAATTGATGGACATTTGAATAGTTTTCACTTTTTTGCTATTATGAGTAATATGACTATGAACAATGTTGCATACAATGTTTTTTTTTTTTGAGACAGAGTCTCACTCTGTTGCTCAGTCTAGAGTGCTGTGGCATCAGCCTAGCTCACAGCAACCTCAAACTCCTGGGCTCAAGCAGTCCTTCTGTCTCAGCCTCCCGATTAGCTGGGACTACAGGCATGTGTCACCATGCCTGGCTAATTTTTTCTATATATATTTTTTTAGTTGGCCAATTAATTTCTTTCTATTTTTAGTAGATACGGGATCTCGCTCTTGCTCAGGCTGGTTTTGAACTCCTGACCTTGGGCGATCCTCCCGCCTCAGCCTCCCAGAGTGCTAGGAT